ACTCTGCTTCAGCACTAGATCTAGCCACCACACTTTGTTTTTTACTTCTCCATGTGACCAGGTTTCCTCCTACAAAGGCACAATACCCACTGGTAGACTTTCGGTCATTGACTGCTCCTGCTCAATCTGCATCAGTATATACTTCCACCATTAAGTGACCATGTTTCTGGAACAACAAACCAGCTCCGGGAAACTTCTTGAGGTATCTCAAGATCCTCTCTGCAGCTTCAAAGTGAGTTGTCCTAGGGTTGTGCATGAGTTGACTAAGGACACCCACTGCATATGCAATATCAGGCCTGGTCATAGACAAATACAAAAGTCTCCCCACGAGTCTCTGGAACTTCTTCACATCTTTCAAAAACTCTCTGACTGTTTCCCAGATGATGATTAGATTCAATCGGTGAATCAATTGGTTTTACCCCCAACTTGCCTGTATCTTCTAGTAGATCTAGTACATATTTCCGTTGGGAAATAAAGATGCCCTTGTGAGAGCGGGCAACTCCAATTCCAAGGAAATAACGTAAGGGGTTTAGATCTTTCACCTCAAATTGAGTGGCTAAGAATTTTTTTAGTCTCCGTACTTCAGTCTCCCAATCTCTGTGATCACTATGTCATCCACATACACAATAAGAGCTGCAATTTTCCTTTCACCTCTTTTTACAAATAGAGTGTGATCTGACTGGCATTGTTTGAACCTCATCTGTTGAACTGCTAAATGGAATTTACTGAACCAAGCCCGAGGTGATTGTTTCAACCCATATAAAGATTTTTTTTAACCTGCACACCTTTTGTTCATTGCCTTTGGCACAGAACCCTAGAGGTTGGGTCATGTACACTTTCTCTTCCAAGTCACCATTCAATAAAGCATTTTTGATGTCCAATTGGTGAAGTTCCCAATCAAGTTGCTGCTAATGAAAGAAGAATCCTGATAGAGTTCATCTTGGCTACTGGAGCAAAAATCTCTGCATAGTCCACTCCATATACCTGTGTAAAGCCTCTTGCTACCAGTCTAACCTTGTACCTTTCAACAATTCCATCAGCCTTGTGTTTCATTGTGAACACCCACTTGCAACCCACTAGTTCCTTCCCTTCAGGAAGGTCCACCAACTCCCAAGTACCATTTTTGTGTAAAGCATCAATTTCTTCCTGCATTGCATTTGTCCATTTAGGTTTAGACAAAGCTACTGCCACATTCTTAGGAACGGGGACACTGTCCACAGAAGAGAGGAATGCATGGTATGAAAGTGAAACATGATCATAGGACACAAAATTAGAGATAGGATGATTAGTGGTACAAGACCTAACACCATTTCTCTTAGCAATAGGAATATTAAGATCATTGATAACAGGTGAATCAACATTTAGAGGAACAAACATATCAATAGGAGCAAGTGTACCTGGCTGATGAGACGGATCTGCCTCGGGTGAATTCGATGATGTTGGTTGCATAGTGTTAAGTTCAACGGCTCTTGAACTCTGCTGGCTTTTATGATGACGATGAAAAACCCGGAATGGAGGAGGATCGGGTAAAGGAGGTAGTTGAGTATGAGTTGCCTGTTTCTCCTCAACCCTACTCTCCTCCTGAGGAGAAACCGAGAAAAAATGTTGATTCTCAAAGAAGGATACATCAATGGAGACATAGTACTTGCGAGAGGTAGGATCATAGCAGTGATACCCCTTTTGAGATAAAGGGTAACCAAGAAAAACACAAGGAATAGCCCGAGGATCAAGCTTACCTCGAGTAGGGGACAGGTTATGGACAAAGCAACGACACCCAAAAACACACATCGAAATGGTAGACAATGGGGCTATAGGAAACAAAAGCTTATGTGGGGCCTTATACTCTAGTAGCCGAGAGGGCATGCGATTGATGATATATGTAGCACACAAGACTGCATCCATCCAAAAACATTTTGGCACATTCATATGAATTAATAAGCCACGAGCTATTTCGAGAAGGTGGCGGTTCTTCCGTTCAGCCACACCATTTTGTTGGGGTGTCCTGGCACAAGAGCTTCGTTGAAGTGACCCACTTGAAGCAAAAAACTCCG